GGCGGCGGGCACGGGGCAGGGGCGGAGCGGCAGCGAGGCCGGGGGGCGGGCGGGGATGGAGCGCCGCCTGACCCCGCTCCCCGCCCCGCCGCTCCCCTGCTTTCGCTTCCGCTTTTTCTTTCAGAGAAAAAAACCTCCATCCAAATCACCCCCGAACATCAGCTCCGACAGGCAGAAGACAATAACTTTCTTCTTCCGCACCCCGCAATGAAAAGCACCCAAAGCTTTTGCATACTCAACGTTTATTAAAAATAGTATGAAATGGTCCCTGGGAGAAGTTACAATACTAGTAGAAGTCCCTTTTTTCTGGTTGGTTGGTTGTTTTCCCCTCCCTCCCGATTCCACTGGTTGCATGAGATGCGAGTTAAACATTCTCCTAAAGCCGTTTAAACAAATCTAGATGAGCGCCCACAGATTTACTTTCTATCCGTATTTACAATACTTTACAAGCTATATTAAATAAATATGGGCTCTGCTACACCTCGGCGTCTTAAATATGTACAACATTATTTTTCAGTCGGATTTTACTAGATAGATAGGGGTCCTATCACAGGGAGTGCGCTGACTGTAACAAGTATCCCTGTGGTACGAGCTAGTAAGTACCATGACCAACCAGCCCTCAAAATAACAATTCCTAGCCAATGCAAGATACGTGTGGTAAATAATTTAGTCAGTTCTAATAAATTCAAGTCCTCAAATCTTAGTCTACAAGTAATTAGCTGTACACTGATAACTTCAGTTTTTCCTCATGGTAACCAATGCAGTAAATAATCAGCTGTTCTGGAAGTACAGTGCTCCGTACTGAGCACTGAGAGGAGTGATAGGTGGTTAGTAAAAATAGTATTTCAATGGAATTCCTTTGTTTATTGATATGTTTAACTCGGTACTGGCTTTATCCATGTAATCTGAAAAATGTAAGCACCAAAAAAGAACGACAGTCACACAAGATGATCAGTGTAGATGTATCTAGGCTTTCCTTTCGGTACAATGTTTTTTCAACTAACAGAATCCAAACCTGTGCAACAAAGATGATGAAGGGAAGTTAAGTGCAGATGGTATTGGAAAGCCTGTCCTTGCTCTAAACGGCAGCATCTATTCTATACACTATTTGCAAAAGAATGGAATGTATTCTCATTTTTAAGCTACTTTTTATTGTACATGAATTGGATTAGAGTCAGCACTGACGGATTTACAAAAGGTATTTTTTACCTCTCTCTGTCAGGAAGGGTCACTTCCTGCTACAGGAGATGCATGCCCTGGGGACTGCAGCTTGTCACTCAACCAGCAGTGTCACTGAACCACCCTATGGGCCAAACGCACCCCACAATTAGTATTTCACCCAAGAATCTGGCCAGGCCTCATTCTCTCACAGGGTCACTGACACTGGGACTTGAACAGCTGCCTAGCAGGTCACACAGCTTTGTTTCAAACTCTACCCAGCAGCTTTTGACTTCTGGGTGCTGAACTCAGATTTGGCTTGCGTGTCACAAGATACTCAGACACTCAAGATACTCAGATCTTGCTTGTGTGTCACAAGCGTCACCATCACTGGAGGTACCAAGACTGGCCTAGCCCTCTTGACAAGGAGTGCAGCTCCCCTTCTAATGCCAAAACCATTCCCCAGGCAAGGACTGTGTCACATCCACAGATTCTCATAAAAAGCCTCCACTGCCTGTCTTCTGCCTCCTGTGCAGTTCCAGAAAGTAGAAGAGGCTTCAGACACAGAGCTATCAGCCTGACACAAGTGCTAGGACTAGATTTTCTTTAAAATGTAAGAAGCTTGCTCTAAAATAATGTAGCATATGCATTGGTCCCACACACTTGGAATCTGCCTGATGAAAAGTAACGTGCAAAAAGGTTATGTGCAATTGCACACGTAGCCTGTTGGTGTAATCACCAGAACCCTGCTCAGAAATCTGCACAGTCACAGGAGCAGCTGCCCAGCTAAATGCTCCTGTATGTAAGCAGAGTAATCATACAGGTATTTTGGATGCAGAACACTGGACACCAACCGGAAAGTCTAAATACCAGGGTTTCCAAATGATGAAATGGCTTAAGAATCAAATGTTATTACACCTGATTCGATGGCAAGAATCACGGGGTATCACACCTAAGAAATGAAGAGATGTGAAGGGTCAGTAGGAGATGAGAAGTTCACATGTGCTACAGAGAGACCCCAGACAGCGCACATGCAGCCTTTTTCACATCCAGGATTCGAAACCATTTTTTAAAAGATACATTTTGCATCTATTTACAACATTATTGCGATACAATGCCTGATAGTGTAATATTATGGAAATACGTGATGCCAGTACTGATTGTCCTAGTATATATTCTCTCATGATAAGGCAGTACAGCTAGAAATTACTGAAAGCATCAAGCAAAGCTACTTGAACTGAGACACTGAAACTTTTCCCTTAAAGACTGGACAATATTCTGCTGATTAGGAGATGGTACTCTCCACAGGTAGTCGTTCAGTTTATCCGAATCACTGTATGCAGTCAGATATGGGGTAAGTGCGTGTTTGCTGCTAGCAGACTTTGCAGGAGTACAGGAGACAGTTTTGCCACAGAACATTTCAGAAGGAACAGCATCTGTGTTACGCAGTTTAGGATCTGATTTCCTTGTTTGGTTCTGAGAAGTCTCCAAGTCAGATCCCTCATCTTCAGACTTTATTTCAACATAGTCATCATCATCCCCTTCTCCTTCTTCAGAATCTTTGAAATTCAAAAAATAGTTCTGAGTAGCCATCTGTGCTGTCAGAGGGGAGGCTCTGTTCACTCTCAGGACCTTTTGAGAATCCTGCAGAATCATATCTGAATAGTTTTCAGGGATCTGCTTTCTCATCTCTGGCCCTGTATATCCTGAAGCAATTCCAGGAGTCTGATGGCTGTTGAATCGAAAGTTCCTATTCAAATGGAGTCTTTTCTTATCAATTTCATTATCATATACAATTGATTCTCCAGACCTGTTGACCACTATTGAGGACGAGGACTGCGACCTGCTGTATGCCTGTGGTTTTACACTGCTTACTCTCCTCCCCAGCGAGTTATAGACATGATCTTGATGCAAGTTTTCTTTGTTTGGCTGGCTTATAATGGCACTCCACCTCTGCGCTGGGACATGCAGACGGTTGGAAATCTGAAGGGAAGGCACTGAGCCAGCTGATGGCAACTGCTTCGAATTGCTTTTTGTACCAGCTTCTGTAAATGAGTTCTTGGACTTTGGGTCCTGGGATTCGGAACACGGAGAGAAGTCGGCCAGCTCACCGTTACTGTACGTGGAATGCAAAAGCCAATCTTCTGCTCTTGAGCATTCACTGGCAGGCTGGGAACGGGGAGGACATTTGGCCATGGGTGTGGAAAACCTCCCAGCTGATGATGGCTCCTGAGGAGTGGCCCCGGATTCCTTCTGGACCTTAGGCGTACTGTCCCTGAAGACAATTTGGTCATAAAGCTGGGAATATTCAGCTATTCTGGCACCTAGAAAGAAGAGAGAATTAACTTAGCACAGATGAGGAATCCATTTCAGCGAATCAGACTAAAATTTTAAAATCTCAAAACACTTAGTATTAGAAAGCTCTTAGAGAAGAACTTTCAGTTGTGTCAATAAATTTGGCCTCTGTAAAGTAACATGAAACATTGGAGGCCTTTGCATCACATTTCTGTACACTTTGTTGAGGAAAAGAAGCATAAAACATCTTGGTACAGTGAGCAGTCATGCAGGACACAATGCAGCACAGGGTTCCAATAATATGCTGCTTGTTTCATGTTAAAATGGAAAAGAACATTCTAAAAATGGCCTGGTAAATAAGATATTTAGGGAATTTTAAAAATATCACAAGAAGGCAAGAATGACACTCTGATGCATGGAGTCTGCTGGCTCCACATCTTCCATTTGTTTCAATTGATCATGGACAAAAATAGTTCCAGACATGTTGCATATCCATGACTTTGCACATTCATTAGCTAATAGAAAGATAATCAGCTCTTTCTTATCTGACCACATTCCTTATGCTTATGGGTATGATTCTGAATGGTACCTGAGCAAATATACATGACTTGTTAGAAGGCAGACTGACATGAAAAAACACTGGTTTAGTCAAACTCTACAGAACACGCTATTAAAGGAAACAACTGCTTTTCTTTAGGGAGGCCAATAGTGCTTCAGGCATGATTTCTACTTCCAGCCTCAGCTGAATTGCTCTTTCCTGACACTGCCCTGGTATTTCTTCCCAAAGTTATCAAGTAACAAGAAATGAGATATGAAGGACCATTCATGTTAAAGCAGTGTGAGAAAATTAATTTCAGTTGTAACACAGAAAATATGATCCTGATACTCAATGACCAAGATGAGAAAAATTCATAATCTTCCAGTTCAGAACACGAAGTCCACTGAAAGTTACTGAAGAAATGTATCTGTACAGAAATGTTTTTAACATACCAATAGCAGGACCTCCTTGTTTCTTCTCCTCCAGAATAGCAGCAAGATCTTTGTGTTTCATTTTCTGTTGTCTGCTAGCTGGCTGCTCCTGCTCTGGACTTTTAACTTTCAAAAGCTGGTTAGCCTTCTTAATTTTTTGACTGTACTGTCTTGCCATCATAAAAACTCTGTTCTTTGTTTTATCCATAATAGCCAAGTCATTTTCCACACCCTCTGCAGGTGTGCTGGACAGAACACTACTGGCGGGCTCATATGGACTATCTACAAAAGGCATCTCACTGGAGAAGGAAGATCTGTTCAAACTCATGAAAGAGTTCTCCTTGCATGGTGTAGTGTCTTCAAACCTCAGATTAGCCTCACTTATGGTGGCAGCCCTGGGCTTCACAGTTTTAGGGAAAATAGGAGTTTCTGGCAGAGAGAGAGTAGACAGTGAGTACTCCACATCTCTACTCAGTTCAGGTGTGCTACCAGCATGCAGCCTTTCCTGCATGTCATCTTTACAAACAGGAAAGGCTGCAAGGACACGGTCTCTTGTCTTTTCCTCATTTTTCTTGATGTAGTTCTCCAGGTCGTTCCAAATCTCGTCTACTTCTTCTGAGAGTTTATCTGCCGCAGACTTATGCGACAGCGAGTCAGAGTTGGAGGAGCTATCGACTAAGCTCAAATAGTCAGTGTCAATGGGAACACGATGGTAAGGACCTTCATCTTCACTGAACTGCAGACTCTCCTCAGAAACAAAATGTCGTAGATTGTCACAATATGCAAAGTCTTTTTCCAAAAAACTTCTCCTTTTGGAGGATTTTAAGGGTTCACATTTAAAATTCAATAGAGATGTTTCTGGAAGCCGTATGGTGTCATAGATGTTGTCTTCAATAATTCTGAGCTCATCCAAACTTGAAGTTGGTGCTTCTTTACTGAGCAGTATCTCCTCCCTGCTAGCATGAATGGAGGTCCTCTTTTGATTTGCTGTTTTCTTTTTGGAAGTTGAATCTGAGCTGCTTTTGTTTTCAGCCTCATACAGAGAGTCTCTAGCAGATCTCCGGGGACCGTGATGTGTTTCCTCCCTTCTTGTCAGACCCATCAGTTTTAAGTCTTCATAGCTTATATTATCATAAACATGTTCAATATCATCAATAGTCAGCTCCTCTGAAGATTCAGGATACGCATTCCTACTGCTCCCCTCTGCTGTCTTCACTTCCCTTCGAGAACCACGCTCCCCTGTTTTATACCTGGTGCTGGCTGGACACGTGTTGCTTTCACCAGCACTACTGGCCCGTCTAACAATTTTGTGACGAGTGGGGCTGGAAGTCTCGTTTTGATGCGCTTGCCCCAAGTGCCAGCTGCATGGACGGCCAGAAGAACCCCTCCTTTCTCCACCAGGAGCTGAGCTCGTGTTGGATGTAGACGCTGATGGTACAAACATGTGGTAATCGTCTTCATCATCCTCGTTCTCATAAGGTGGGCGCCGGCTGGGGAACAATGCCTGCCTGATCTGATGGTCCGTCCAGATGTTTCTGACGGAGGTACCTCCCCCCAGGATATTCATGATCAGAGAGTTGCTCTGAGGTGTGCTGAACTGTCTAGGAGACTGTGGCTGTCTAGCTGTGCAGGAAAATGGAAGATCAGTATTCAACTGCATTGATTCTTCATCTGAAGGGTCCTTGGAGCTCTGTGGAGAATTGAAATTTGCAGGTAACATTAGTATATCCCTGTAATAATAATACAGCAATTCCCTCTTTTCACAGGACTGCAACAGCACCAGTGTGTCCTGCAGCAGAGAATCATGTGGAGATGGGCAGGGCAAGTGCTCTCTCTCAACAGAGAGTGAGGGAGCCAAGGTGGCAGTGCCAGACTACTTTGCCTCCTAATCCTTACCATGGCTCAGAGTTCACTCCCGGTATTTAATAACATCTTACTTCAAATACAAGACAGTAGCTTATGTTAATGCATGAGTAATTAAAGGCAAATTTGTTTGGCAGGAGTTGGATTAAACCTTTTATGCTAACTCTGCAGTTTCACAGTTGGATTAAGCTAATCTGACTCTGGGCTTGTGCCAGAAGTTTTGTTCTTCTCCTTTTCCTTGCCTATAACCCTAGCAGAAAGGAATCTTATGCTCTCTAACACATGCCAGTGAAAATGTCTTTTTCTTTTTAGTATAAGTTTTCATCCAGATCTAATTTACAGCAAGGCCACGTGCTCCCTAATGCCAACATAAAGGATGCTTTAGATATTGCTGGCCAGAGCTTGGGGGAGTGAGGGAAAGATAATTCCTTTTATCTTCAGTTAAAGCTGATAGGTTTAGTTAGTTACTTGTTTTTCCCAGCCCCCAAAAGAAAGAGTCTTTTCTCACAGACATGAATATTTTAATGATATGAATATTGATACATGACATAAAGAGAAGATGATGTATCTGTCAACCTAGGGAAAACAGATTTCTTTGAGATACCTATGATGCATAGCAAAATAGAAGTAAAAAATAATAATTACCTACCTGCATTTCACATTTATTGAGATTGAGACTTCTCCGTTTTTCAACATTTTCAGCAGCTTGACTATTAAGTCTTTTTCTTCCCCCTTTTGATTTCTGCAGTGAGTTTTGCTGTGATTTTAAAGAAAAAAAAAGAAGTGAGGGGTAATAAAACCTACTGTTCTTTGTACAGTAGAGTTCAGAGGAATTACTAGGAGCTACAACAAGTCAGGGAACCTATACTGGGAGATGAAACCGCTCATGAGTCGTTAGCACTGCCACAAGAACTATTCAGAGATTATAAAACCTGTAAAAGTATCTAGTAGTTGCCAGACCTAGTAGTAAACACTAAGCTAATAGTATCAATTTTTTGTGGTGGCATTTTTTGTGTTTACTCATTCTTTCGTTTTTACTTATGTTGGCAAGAGGGGGAATTACAAGACAGTACACTACACTGGTACAAGATACTATTTTATGAAATATTTATAATGAAAATAGTATAATTTCAAAGAGGAAATGCAGTAAGCTTCAAAAAGAACCTCAATAACTGGTTTCATATAATTTACAAAATAGATGAACCACACAATGATATGACCTCAGTATCAACTAAACCAAATAAACTGAGCATCTAGTTTCTTTAATACAGCCACATTTTGAAGTTGGATTTTTAGTCTTTCAAAGGTACTACATATGTGTGAAAACATCATACTGAGTAAGAAAAAACTACTATCTGTGCAGTAGTAGGAGATAAGACTCTCATTTTCATAAATCCTACTCAAAATTCCTCATATTCAAGTTCACACATCTGTAGCTACTGCCAGAGGCTCACAGATCAAGAAACATCCCATCACATGCAGCAGTGTCTGAATCTCAATGTAATATTCAAGCCCTTGCTTTGAAAGCACTGTCTCTGCATGAGGCCTAAAAAGGTTTTTGCATGACATCAGCTGAAGAAACAAGGAAAAGCCAGTTGTGTGCAACTGGTCAAACTTTTCTGTAACAACTAGGTTGGAGGACTGCAAGGACTAAGTAAAATTCAAGCAGTGGGAATTTCTCCCTCTATGTAGGGGCTTTTGCATCTACTCTGTTAAAATGCAAGTGAGTATGTGTGAAGCCGAAGTAAAAATGTTTCCAAGGAGAGGAAGTTGTAAACATTTGCAACACATTCCTGCCTGTTGTACATATAATTTTAATCCTTCTTCCATTCTCCCCAAGAAAAAAAAAATTTTTTCCCACTTTTTCCTACCTGTTCAGACTCTTCTTCATCATCAGCATCAATCTGTTCTGTTGCAGATGTCTGAAGAGTTTCATCATGATCACTACTGTAGGCTGGTTCAATAGACTCTTGAAACTGGCTCTCCAGCCCACTGGATTCCAGTGAAACCTTCTTCCTAGAATTCAGCAGGGCTTCACTTGATCCTAGTTTGGTGGCTTGAGATAATAGGGCTCCTTCAATGCCCATCCGCTTCAAAAAATAATGAAACTTTGATCAGAAGTTTCTAGAGATTCTACGTTTTAGTAAGATCCTCTTATATCAGACTCACAGGCAAGGTTTAACCTACAGTCAGTTAGCTGCAGTGAACTGAAATTTATAGAGAAGTAAGTACAACAACCAGTACTTTTCCATGTAATATTTAGAACTGAAAAAATATATGCAAAAGACCCCATTCACATCGAATTCTGAGCTTCAATATCATGGCATGACAACGAAGTAATATCTAATATACTCTGTTTATAACATACACACTTTTAAAAATTCCATCCTAAATAAAACCCCAAGACCTGAAATTCAAAATGAGACTTTCAAATTGCACTGGAAATTCCCATATAAATTCTTACAGAAAATGTAAAAATTACAAATGCTCGTAACAATCTGCTTAAGCTGCATGTACTGCCTACTGTTTGGTGATGTATCATTACATATATACATCTCAGTCTAAGTTGAAACTTTCCAGTCTTATTTAATAAACACAAAGATAATATGATTCAAAGAATAAACACTATTTTTATACACTGCACTTCCTTGATTCTATTTGTATTTTTAAGTATCCTGTAACACTAGTAATTGATTGGACTGTATTATAAACCACAACCATATATGGATTGGTGATTTTTTATTACATATTCCCAAAATAGTAAGCTATATTTCTACTTCTTTCATTCCAGTAATCTTAGATGCTAAATAACATTTATAGGTTTATTTTCATTCTTAAGGTCAACACAACCAAAAAGATGCAGATTCTCCAGTAAATACTGTGCTCTAAAGTCATATGAATGGGCTAAAACAATGAATTTAAGAAATGGCTTACCTTCTGCATATCTGGGCTTACATCTGAAAACAAAAACACATCAATGAATAATCAAACTGGTGTCAGGGTATGCCCATTTCAATGCTACCCCAGTTATGAATTCCCCAAAGGGGGTTGAATGCAGCAGCAACTGAGCAAACAGACTATATGGGATTTCTGATAAAACAGAGGCAGCATGAGCTTTACCAGAGCTCCACTTGAGGCCCTGATTTTGCAGCATTGCTATGATTTGAGGAACTGTTCACAATCGCCAAGGCTTGGTGTGTTCAGTTCCTAGGATGTTTACAGGGCCAATCCCCAATTATGGAAAAGCAGATATTAGATTTAAACACTAACTTTTTGGGTTTGGCTTTTTTTCCCCCAAAAAATTCCTCTTCCTCCCCTTAATGTATTTAGGGACAGTTACAAGTAAAAAAGATTCTGTCTTCAGTTGTTTCACAAAGTACAGGAGCACCAGGTCAGTAAACAGTACACAAAGTATCTTACCATTTGACTTCAAAACTTTATGGACTCTAGATGAGGGTTCTGAAAAAGAAAACAACATATTTACCCACTGTGGCATTCCAAAGAAAGCTGTGGGCATCCTGGACAACTTTTTTGAACATGTATATAAAAATTTAAGCTTCTGAGCCCACACAGTGAAGCCAGATTTTAATTTCTTTATTGCAAAATTTCCTCACAAAGATGATCTGTTGAAGTGTCAAATCTACAGCTGTTACCAAAGCACATACTTGTTTCTTAATGCAACAGCAGTTGACCTCCATTCATCAAGGCACACGTAAATTTTTATCCCATGCAAAGATTCCTGCTTTCAAAAGACCTTATCACCTCTGTTACTGCTCTGCAGTGTTAGAGGTTTTCTATTAGAAATATGCATAAGGCACCAAAGTCTTAGATGGCTTAGAAAGTGTAAGTAGCTGAAGATTACATAGGAGGCCCTTTGGTCAGTATTTTGTATTCTTCCTTTCACAGAAAGAGCAGCACCAATGCAACAAAGGTGTGCAAACACCTCAGAAACAAAGGAGAACATACCTCAAACATAATTAGAATTTGACTGCTTTTCAGGCACAAATGCTCCTGAATGTTAAATCATTACATCAATATTCTCATGAGCCTTGTTTAAGTCATTCCCAAAATACAATATTACAGACCAAATTGGAAAGGTCTTCAAGGAGACAAACAGGGGAACACAGGGACTGCAATATGTAGTCACCCAACTACAAAGACATTGGTAGTGTCTTTGAGAGTAATTATAGATAGATGTTTGAGCTAGGAGGGCAAAAAAAGCCCAAACTCAGCAAAACCACCTCTCAAATCTCTATTATTCATAAGGTAAACATGACACTAAGTATAGATAGTAATCATGTTTTGAAATAATAGCCTATCATAATCAGGATGGACCACTTCTGAGACAACAGTAACTGCAGTAAGGGGGAATGTCAGATTTAAATAATGTGACTGGCCTTCCTGCATATGCACTTTAATCTATTAGAGAGTACCAGCTGTTCTTTATACATTCACCATTACAAATGTATATTCCTTAAATTAAATGCAAAATGTAGATTAAAAAAATAAATTACAAGAACAACAAATGGTTAGTAAGATACTTCATCCACATCGGAGAGAGATACTGTGCCATGTTACCTGCCTGGAGTGCAGATTAAAAACCAATTCCATGTACCTAGCCTATCCACCCCTAAAACAAGCCTGCTTGTTTTTCCTTTTCTCATCTAGGGTATAAGTGACTTTATTCACCTGATTTCCGCCTCACTCTGTGAGGAGTAGTGCCTTCCTTAGGCTGGTATGATTTCATTTCTCCCTCTGGGCTATAGTGGAAGCCTGGGTGATCTGTGGAACAAGCAGAGGCACAGGGAATAAGAGAGTGACAAGGATGGCACTTCACACGCCTTGGCAGCCCTCTTTGGGGGCAGTGCCATCATCCCTACATGCCTAATCCAGCTGCACCCCATCACAGCCTGAAGCTACACAAGCAAGATGTGCTGCTGGGGTAGCTGCTTCCCAGGCAGCCATGGAATGCTTTAGTAGCTGGGCCTGGCTCCAGAGGGCTAACCCAGGAACATTTATCCACCACCATCCTGTTTGTCTGCCACTTTCTCAGTCAGAGCCCTCCCAACAAAATCCACAGGATCTGCATCTAATTATCTAATTTTGCCTTTTCCAGCAGGGTCATAATTCAAGGAACATAAGCCTGGCATTCTTCCATCTCAGATGACATCAACAGCTAAAGCCAAAATTTTGAAGATGGTTTTATTGATTTTTAAAACAAAAGGGAAAAAGAACCAACTTACGTATGGCATCCATTTCCAGAATTGCCTGCTTGGCCTGGAAGAGAAAAAGTAACAAAAGAAAAAGTTAAAACTGTTAGTAGCAGGGCAAGTTGTATTGCATATTATACACAGTAGTGAGCTTATATGCAAATAACAGCAATTTTAATTTGGGAACTAATAAATATGGTTACCAACATTATTTTTTTGGTTTGCATTTTTTGTTCTTCTCTGTATTTTGGACATGTTACATATGGGGAGGAAACTTTTGGTGGCAGGAACTCACCAGAGCTTATCTCCAGGTCTGCACACAAAACCCGTTGTTCATTGCACCCAGAATCTTTATCTTGCGTGCCCACGTCTGCACAGGCAGTGCAAGGAGAGGAAGAGTGTGTGCCATAAAAAATTCATAACTTGGTTTAAGTAAGATTGATGCAGGATAAAGAGCATTTCCTGATGGCTTAAAATTTGTCCCTTTTTTTTTAATAGAAAAAAATTCTGGATGTTTTAGGAAGCATATCAGCTACTAAGTAAGAAAATAATTTGCACTGAAATATCCTGTCTAAGATGCTTGCCCTTGTACAGGTGCAGTTTGGTAATTTTCCACCAGGCGTCACATGTGGACTACTATTGCATTCTCCAGAAGCTGGGCAGAGAGAAGCTTCACAACCAGCAATTACCGGTTTGACAGGAAAAAAAAATTAAAAATGTACAGATAACCTCAAAGATTTATTTCATTAGACTTTTCCTTTCTCAAGTGAAGTTATTTCTCTGAGAAGAAAATATTTTTGGTTTCACATTTTTTTTCTACAGATAAAATAAAAATTGAGTAAGAAATAAGAAAAAAAATTATACAAAGGCTGAGATCGTGTTGTATTGTTTTTAACAACCTAATAAACTGAGTATTTACAGTGTAAGTATGGATACTAGCATAAACATTATATCTTCAAAAGACTTTTTTAACAAAAAGAGAAGAGGAAAACAGGACTTGTTGGGCTTTTTTCTTCCGTCTCTTTTTGTCACACTGTTGAAAATGCATGTTAGTACAGTATGGTGTATGTCAGTCACAGGTATTATTTTTTAGCCATTACAGCATAAAACTGAGTGGAAAAAACAGTCAGGGAAACTGAAAAACCAAGAGTAAACTCAGTGTGAAAAAAAATTCTGTTTCCACACCAGTCAGTGTCTGCTGTGTCTTGGCAAGAATTAATGAGAGTTAACCCCCTTTGTGAGGTGCTGTGTATTACACTGGGACACATCAGCTAAAGCTCTAAGATTGGATTTCATAAATAAGAGGAGGAGATTTCCTTATTGCAAGATATTATAGCCACGAATATGATATCAGTGCCTCATTTTTTCTGCCATAAAGCTCTCTCACTATCCCACCAAAAAGGGCCAGATGTCCCAGCTACAGATGCTGGGTTGAGGATGGGTGTGTGTAGTTGCAGTGAAGTGTGTGCTGCAATGGCTTCACTGCTATGATACCTAACCAAGATTGATTAAAAAAACCTACAGTACTGCCAACAGTGCATCCCAGTCTTAGCTTGATGCTGCCTGCTTTGCAGACGGGCAGCATCAAGCTAAAATGTGCTCCCAGAGTAAAGCTTTCTGACATGGCACCTCCGTTACTTATGTCTTGGCAGGCAAATGCTGCTAACCCATTCTTCTACTCCCATACCAAACCCTGCAGATAATTATAGTAGAACTTTTCCATTAGTTCTGAGGAACTTTTAAAAATATAAGGAAACAACACATTAATTAACATCCAGGAATCTAAACTCTCTGTATATTGCATGCATCTTGCAGCTAACAAGAGTGTTCTAAGTTAGTACCCACACAAGGAGGTGTCCTGTGATTTTGTTTGCTTTTTTTTTTTGTGTGTTTTTTTTTTGTTTGTTTGTTTGTTTTGTTTGGTTAGTTTTTTGTTTTGCCTTTTTTTTACCTTGGCAGGAATTTTAGCAGGATGATTTTCTAGAATTAACCTCTTCAAGTGAAGAATCCAAAGGCGCTTGTCTTGCTGCGACTTTGCCTGATAAAAAAATTGGGTACCATGAGAAAAATTCATTCCTACACTAGCCAGGGCCATATGGACATGAGCCACGTTACCCAGTGGGCAGGAAGGTTTCTGTGGTACCTGGACAGTATGTTGCATCTTAGGATTTTTGTAGTGGAAGACACTAAAGCTAAGTGGTTCCTTTGGTATTACTTCAACAAGCATCAGGTTTCCACACTGCAACGAAGAGAGGAAACAATGTGATCACAGAGGAGTTTCAGGGAGACCTTTAGACAGCACATTACCACCTGCTCTCTGACATACCAGTATGTGAGCTTTGTATGCGAACATTTCATCTCTCTTTTTTGTAATTAGCAGCATCTTGTCAAAGAGGAACAACGTGCGCTCATTTTTGGCTCGCTGAATGCGGAACGTTCCTTCTAACACCAGCTCCCCGTAACTCGTAAGGTCTGGCCCTTTCCAGTTAGTGAGCAAACTCTGTATCTCCTGCAACAGGTCACAGAACAGCAACCAAAATTAATTTCAGAGATCTTGTTGAAACAAAAGACCCAAATGATCTGCTGAGGCCATTTGCACTCTCCTATATAACATTTAGCATCCAACAGCGGAAAGTCACCAGACACCAATCCTGAGGCTGGTAGGTTATGTGTAACATTGCAGCCAGGTGCTTGGAGGCTCACTGCAAAGCCCACACCAAAACATGCCCCGAGTCCTGGTTACTGCCTCTGCATGGACCCAGCAAAGAGCCCTGAACTCCCAGGGGCAGTCTGTAATGAAAGAGCATAACCTCTGCTCCCCTTGCTCCCAGAGACAGAAAATCTTTTGTAAGTCAGCCATCAGTCTCTCTCATGCTCTCCTTCATGTCCCCAACCAATCCCTCTTAACATTTCCCTCTCACCCTGGGTATCCTCCTGAAGTTGTGTGCTCTCCCACTGAATGAATTATAATGCCATGTCCATGTCCTACAGGCCCATCACAGAAGACACTTCTGTGAGGTGTTTGGATTGAAGAGATGATTCCCAGAAGACTAAACAGCCACAAGTGATTCAGTCAACTGAACATCTGAATATTTGCTTGTATCTTAATGATTTGTGTAAATACCACTGATATTTCTCACCTTATTTATTATTTAGGAAAAAAAAAGGTTGGAGAAACATCTAAGAACACCTTCACAAGACTGTGTCACTTAGCTATGGCTATCCTGTTTCCTTAAAGTGCTTATGTTTTCTGTCAATGGCAATGACACAGGACTTAAGCATGGGACATCAAATTCTAAAAGCAAGCTAAAATTTTAACTAGGAAACTCTCTAAAAACATCCATCAGACTTTAAACCTGGCAGCATTAGCAAAGCAGGGACAGATTGCCTCATCCTAGGTTGGTCACTCTAGGACATTAGACTTTAATACAGCTTTCAGCTAGAAAACATTCCAGTCCATTTGAAGCACCAATGCAGGCTAAAGCATTCACAGGACTAAAACCCCAAAGCAGCCCACTTTGGACTATACAGACAGTTCTTTATTTAAAAAAAAAAAAAAAAAAAAAGAATTTAAAAAAGTTGTACTGTATCAGATCTCTCCAGGAGCTTGTTAGTAAGTCAGGATACAGCAAAGGGATCAAGTCCACCACTCTTGAGAGACACTTCGTGCAGAAACTGCTGCTGCAGTACTTGCAGACCACATTGCAGTGTGAGAGCCCACAGAAGGCCTATCCCTATGGCTGCAGAAGCAGGTTTCACTTTTTTAACAGGGAACCATGAACATAAACATTTTCCACAAACCCAAACATTTGCCAACTGAGCTCAATAAAAAAAAAAAAGCTTTTGTTTTTTCCAAAAGCATTTAACTCCTATTTATTTCTGAATATAATTACTCAGATTTATAGCAGACTGTTGTTAAAAGTCATTAGCATGCATTTCCAGCAATGTGTGGCAAAGGTTACCCTGCTGCAGCCAAGAATTGTAAAATTTTCCTTACACATAAACAACAGCAACACAAAAAATAAACAATCATTAAAAAACCCCCAAAATAGAAAAAAAAAGAAAACCATCAAAAGGGTGAATAAATTTAATGTATGTTAAAAAAATGGGCAAAGAATTACATTATATGCATTTCTGAAATGGGATAAGTTTATTACTCTCTTTTATAAAGTAAAAAATCCCCCCAACTTTTTAAAAGTGATATAAATATTGAAAATGTAACACATAAGTGTGATTCACTGGGAACCTAGAAACAGAATGAGAGCATAAATTCTACAAAAGAGCTTGCTCCTTGCTCTTGATGACAAAAATTACTCAGGGCATAGCTTTTGTTTCTTCTCCTCAAAAAAAATCTTCATTTGAAGGGAAGCTAGAGTTTTTCCAAGTATCATGTTTCTAGGTTTATGCTTTTCACAAAGCAACTGATAATGAGTTTTCTAAAACCCAAGAGGAAAGCACTTGAACAAGAATCAGCAAAAGAAATGCCTCAAAACAAAATTAATCAGCACAAAGGGAAGAAATCGGAAACCACAGGATTTCTGAACAAAGCCATGCCCTAAGGTTGTACAGCAGTGCTGTACAATTGAGGGAAAGGAAGAAAGAAGAGTTATCTTAAGTTCCATATTACTGCAAAATAAATGCTTTACAGGATGCTGCTTGTAGGTTAGAGATGTCTGAGATTTTCCTGCAGCAGTTATGACCATGGTTTCCAAGATCAAACAGCCACAGGCATGCTCAACAAGAGTCTAAATTATGACTGACAAAGATTAAAAGAAAAGATAAACTAAAAAATGTTAATTGCATATATATTGACAAAACCAGCTCACAAACACACCTAACATTTCTCTGGGAACTCACCTGGAGCCTGATGGCGTGTTCATGTTTCCTCTTCATGTCATTTATATGCCATGCCACTCTCTGCATGGTATCTATGGCATCCAGCACCACATCATAGCCCTCAGTGTCCTTGTCAAGGTGGTTTTCTATTTCCTAAGACAAAGGGAAAAAAACCCAGAGTCCCCTTACTCCTAAGTGAACTTTCCCAGTCGAATGCAATACTGTGTTTTCATCTGTACTGTTTTGTCTGTGCATCGCAACCACTCCAAGGCAACGTTCCTGCCTTTGTTAGTGATGCGTGTTGCTATCGATTTGATTAACACAAGATGACAAACTAAGTCAAGGCTTTGGGGTCAGTTTGGTAGCAAGGACATTTGCAGCAGCCAGTGTGACCAGAGAGGCACAGAAAGAGGGTGCAGCACACTGACAGGAGATCTTTCAGACAGCATTTAATGTCTTTCCTACAGCACAGAACATTTCTACACACTTAAAAAACTCTGATGGAACTACCCCAGGCTTTGCTTTACAGTTGGAGAGCAGAAAAGCACGAGGCATTTAAAATAAGGATCAGTGTCTTTACACTTCACTAGAACATGACGCTCTAATAGGAAACATATGTGGAAAATGTTAACAATAAAGCATGAATTTCCGAAACTTGCTTAACTCAATTCACTGAATGTGGAAAGAGTTCCCATTTCCTTCATCATTCCTCTCCACAAAATTCTTAGCAGTCAGGGCGTTTATATGTATTTAGTCCTTCTGTCAACCACCCCCAGCATTGCAACATGTGAAAAAACATTGTTCTTCGCTGGAACAATAAATTTGTGTACAAAATGTTTAATCATGACAAGCATTTTCCAAACAACCTCAGAATTACAGACCAGCTTTCAAAAAAAGTGCTAATTATTTGAATGCAAAGACTGATGCAATGTGTCTAAAATAAATACCATAAATTCCCCATTCCAAACAGATGCATATGGCGTGAAGTGACAAAGACAGAAAGTCTCCACATGCTGAAATCAAATACCCACAAAAGCATGAGCATTTAAGGAAAACCAGAACCTTTCTAACCACCAAACCTTGTACCAGAGGAAGGAACTCCTACGTGCAGCAGCCCTAAACGAAATACATTTCTTACGTGCAGAAGCAGGTGGTACTTGAGGATGCGTTGGACAGGTTTCAAGAGGTAAGAGCCCAGGGGCAGAGAATGCTGCAGTGCTTCTTGCCGCTCTCTGAAGAACTTGGCCAGTGCCTTGTTCCTCATGCACTCTGTCAGCACAGCCACAGACCTGAAAACATCCATACACGGCTCTAAGACACTCTGTTTCCATAAGTCTGTAGGTAAAGTAAAGAATTGCTTCCTTTTTAGCTTGTAAAGAGCGGCAGCAGGTTCCCATTCCAATAACTGCTGTTTCTGCTGTTTGGTTTGGCTTTTTTTAAAACTTATCTTGTGCATTCAGCTATGTTCTCCCTTGATATGCAACCAGTCTCTCTTACTGGGAATTCTATAAGCATCATTGCAGAGTAAGACCATCATTTTCTAAAGAAGGGTAAAGCAGTGAACCACAAGAATAGATGAAACAAAACTTCATTAAATTTTTTTTTTTTTCTTTTTTACATAAAAGGTAGATTCCCTCCAATTTAGGAAGGGGAGAAGCTTTTTTTTTTTTTTTTTTTTTTTTTCCCTCTCCCTAGAGTGTAACTTGCATTACACAAACTGGCCAAGGGACAGAGGAGGAAAAGGAGCAAAAGGAGCCCATAATTCCTACCTTGGGTAGTTGGTGCAGTACTGCGTATATATGTGGAAATCTTCACTCTGCACAGGGAGGAAAAGTTTGTATATATTGAGATTTTGTCAAACTAGCAGCTAATGTGTGCAAGATAAAGATGATGTCAAGACAACACCTGCTTCAACTTCTGATCAATGTGATAGTCCTAACACAACCAGAATTTAATTTCACCTTTTTGTGGGGGAGGTTTTTCCTTTATTTGAAAGAAAAAATCAAGAAAACCTAACACAGATAAAATAAGTGACTTTGCAACAAAGCTTCCAAGGTACCCTATGAAAATCTATGCATCTCAAAAAAACCCCAAAAAACCAAAAACCTGACCAAAACACCATCACTACACAGACGTCCTTCAAACAGCTGGCTGCACTTATCTAGTTTTTTTTGTGTGCTGAAGCACACCCATATCACAGAATCATAGAATATCCTGAGCTGGAAGGGACTCACAACCAGCTCCTGGCCCTGCACGGAACAGCCCCAACAATCACACCACATACCTGGTGTATTTACTGGGAGAATTAAGTTCTGCAGGTTGTGTTTGGTGTGCCATTTTCAAGCAATTATAAATACTTTCACAGGTGAGCACAGTCTAAGCGTGAAATTAGAAGCCACAAAAGCAATTTTTTTAAGAAGTAAATTATGTGAAAGCAGACAGCTATTACCCCAACAAGTTGTAACTAGATCTGGGTGGGTTTCCACACTTGCCTGTCACACTGAAGTTACTCAAACTTAATGCTGATAAGCTTCTCAGAGCTAAAGTCTGAGTTTCATTTCTTTCTTCCCTGGCTGAAGATTTTTTCTTAATAATCACAATTTAATTCTATGCAAGAACAGATTTCCAGAAACATTCCCATGTGCTCTAAGTCCACATCTGCCTATGAACTTCTATCCCAAACAAGACACAATTTCTGCAGCTTACTGGAGTCCTAAAGGCTAAGAAAGCACTGTAGAATGGCAAAGTGCTCCCTGTATCAATCACTTTTCCTTTAATAAGCCCTTGGCAGATAAAACAATCCTCCAGCAGTGAATAAGACCCCAGTTTCCACCCCAAGCATCTTCAGAACGGGCTCTGGCATTCTGCAGCACAATAGCTGTGCTCCACGAGGGGCTGTCTCCCAGGCATCATTGCTGGTGAATGGCAAGACCAAACATCTGCATTCACAGAAGGCACAGTGCTCTGAGGAACACCACCCCTGGGGAGAGGGCTGACACAGGCTGTGGCTTTTGTTTTTCACTGTTGGGGTTTGGTTGTTTTTCATTCAGCTATTCATCAGAAAGAGCCATCCCAGGCAGTGCCCTTTGCCAATTCCAACAGCACTGGTGCCGTCCCCCTCTCTCGAGGGTAAAGCAGGTTGTGCCATTCATCTCTGCACTGAGCAGTGATCCATAAGGACCCCATAGAAAGTAAGATGTTACCCTGCAGGAGTACAAGTCATTGCAATTCATTTCAGTATGTCCTACTGGATTTCACTATTCACTGTTCTGAGAAAAATAACTCAAGCAAACTTCTAATAAATGTTTCCCCAGGGGACTGTGATCCCCATTTACTCACTAGTGGGCTGTAAGCTTATTAAACTGCTCTTCTCTTAGAAACCAACAAACTAACTAAAAGTAGTCTTGATACAAATACAGTTAAATAATTTAGCTTGGTTTTTCACACTTGAACTAACTTTGTCATGGCAGCTCGGTTTTGTGGTGGTGTTACCGATGCCCCACATCCACATGCAGAAGTAGTGAGCCTGTGTCACAGGCAGTTCCTGTCCATGCCTGGAAGCCCAGACATAGCTCCAAACCCTCTCCCCTCAAAACTAAGAATTAACAAACCTTAGAGAGCTACAGCTATTACACTGTGTAATTTTCTTGGCAATCACTACCAAACTAGCCAGCACTCATAATAAGCCAGGGTGCTTAAGAAAGAACATTAAGGTGAAATTCAGTATGGTGAAAAAATGTAATTTATTTTACATATGCATATTAATATTCAAAGTTTTCATTCAGGGGATTTTGGTATAAATTTTAATATATTCCCATAGCTATCTTAACGGAATAATATAATTTATAGAACTACTTCATAAGCAGAGTGAAGAACATTTTGAGCCAATTCATTTTTATGTTTTTATTCTGCTCATATCACATGATTAGTCTGCTTTTCAAACAAAAAGGAAAAGAGTATCTGTTGTAAAATTTTAACCAATGAAAGTACTATCTGTAAAACAAACAAGGCCAAACACTTCAGGGTTACAGAGGAGGCTGTGTGCACATTCTCCTCAAAATCAAAAGCATGTCTGAAATCCCCAGGAGCCTTTTCACACTCTCGCTCTTTGGTTTGGTTTTTGGTTTGGGGTTTTTTTACACAAGGTCAGAAATACTTTTAATGGGTTTTTTTTTTTTTTTTGTTTTTAAATGCAACAAATTTGTAGTAAAAACAAAAGATAGTTTCTTATGCCCTCAATACCTCTAAACCTTAAGAATGGTTTCACTATCACCCCTGCTTTCTGAACAGACATAACACCAAATTCCACACTGCACTTAAGTGTGTACTCGCTCCAGTGAGCCACAGCTCATTTCACCACACAGAACCATCAGAGAGCATTTACTTTTACTGAGCAATGCGAGCATAGTGCCAGGAGAAAGTCAAGGACATGTGTTTTGCCTCCAGGATGAGATTGTTGATACGCACTCAAACTTGCAGATCTCTTGTGAATCAACACCATACACCTTGCCCAGGCATTAGCCGGATTCATGTGAACATGTTGGGAAAGTGGCCAAGAGAGCCACTTCTAAGAGAAGTTCTTCTCATCCTGACAAAAGTGCACTGCTCAGAACAGGAGCAAAAGAAAAAACAAGATGGTTTTATTATTTTTCTGACTACTTTCGCAACATAAGGAAAACACCAGCTATGCTCTTCAGTATTTCTTCCAACATTCTTAAACTTACTCAGCTTGAAAATAGTTTTGTTCACATCAACTGTCTTCAGACCAGGTTAAAACTGATCTCTGCATGGAGATTGGAATTGCTCCAGGGATCAGTTTAAATCTGGGGGCCCAAAGCTGTTGTGGTAGAAGCTGCAAAAACCTGAGACTCAAGCTGAGAGTTTGTCCACACTGATTGGAAGTACCTCTCAAGAGCAAAGCCAAGTGTGAGCAGACCCCAGCTATATTTACACTGATCCCTCACACTGGAATCAATTCACTGCACATCTCCTCTACATACATTCCAGACCTTCCCTCTACTCTTAGTGCACTGTGCTTTTTTATAGCCATAAAAGGCACTTTAAAAGAAAATGGAGACTGAGAAAATGAGTGGAGTCAGTGTACAAACTGAAGCCAATTGCCTGGATTTGCTCATAACTAATGAGATGTTAGATTAAAGTAATTCTCCCTTTCCCCCTGGTTAAGCTGTTAGTGTGCCTTGCAGAAAACATATGTTCTGAATTTCTGGGGTGCTGAGTGAGAAGAGCGATGTGCCAGAATTCAGCTCTCCTTTAAAACAACTCACTTAAATGTAAACGTACAGAATACTGAAGTCAATCTTCTAATTAACACTGGCATCATTGCTATGAAAATGAAAGACTGGACTGGCAAAAAACCCCTTACAAACAGTCTTCTGTGTGAATAATTAAGCCATAGCTAAGCTTGCACTGGAACCTTTTTATTAGTCTCCAATTAGTTACCATATGTCTCCAAGAACTTTTACATCTAGTGCTAATATAGTTCTTCTAGACAAAGAGAGAGGATCAGAACTGGTACAAACTGAACTAGTACAACACTACCCTCAGAGGCAGGTTACTTCCATGCAGCAGCCATCCCACACTGTAAAACAAATACCCATACCCCCACCATCTGCATCTTGAGGCAGAAAAAAAGACTGCAATTCATGATTGGATAGCAGGTTTTAAAATAAGTGTGCCTTTCTGCATTTGTGTCTATCTGCCTGTGAGTTATTAATGTATTAAAATATTTGGAAGCAGAGGGATTCAATACAACGTTGTAAGTTACTACTAAATATTTCCATTTCCTTAAAGTCATAGCTTTGCATCTTTATTTTATTGGTTAATGAGTTTTATGTTACTGGCTAGTTTAGACTAAAAACATTGCTGAAATCTGTTAATAAATCAAAGCTGCCATTTTAGAGGCTATTTACTTTGGGCCCTCAGCACAAAAAATGTTAAGATAAAGATTCAAACCCGCAATGATGTATTTTTTTGTTCAAATTACACTGAAGTGTGTTTTGATAATCCTTTCCCTTAAAAGTTACAAGGCTTTTTACTACAGAAGCATTAAAGTTATACACAGGAAACACAGTCATGTGTGATTGTGTGAGGGAAGTATAATATGCTATACAAGAAATTTTATTGAGCTAAACCAAATAACAAAGTACAAAGAGAATGATCCAAAACTTCAAAAATCAAGCTCCCCACGTCTTCACAAATACAAAGCATTTTATACAACAAGATCCAGAGTTATTTTAACCATAACTGTTCTGTTCTACTGCAAACCAACTTCATGTGATTTCACATGAATCCTAAGAAAGAAACAACTTTTACGTTATGCAGTTACTGAGCTTCTTAAGAGTGCAAAAAGCAAACACAGTAACTAGAGTGAAAACTTGGTTATACCTTAAGATTTGCAACACCTACCCACCTATTCACAGATGGGTGAAAAAATGGCACTAGGTCCAGAGCTCGTGTAACCTAAGCACAGCTCCACTGGAAGCATTCAAGAAGCTCCAGCACAGCTATATCCATTAGCTAAGGCTGTGAGCTATGACTTCAGCATGATAACATCCCCGTGCTTAACTCACAGTGAAGATCTAACGCACTCCAAGCAATGAAACAATAAATGGCCAAAGTCCCTTAAGACTTGAAGGAGCACATGCTGCCAAAAAAGGCAGTTTTATTTCCACTTCTCGGTCCTGGGAAGACACAAGCAACCAAGAATGGACAACTGGAGTTTGTTAAGGCAGTCAGCAGTTGCTGTAATGAAATCCTCACGGCCAAAACCAGAACTGTGGGGTATTTTGGTATTGTTTGACTTTGCTTTTAAGTGTTTGCACTTGTCTGGATGAAGCTAAAAAATGCCTGTTTGTACTGCAATCTCTAGCAATTTCTGAGCCATCAGGCAGTTGCCTGCCAATAATACAAATGCTAAAAGCATTTGACAAGGGAACAAAAGGCACAAGCAATGATATGCAGATGGGTTTTGGAACTAATGGCCAGAAAGTCTACCAGACAACCCTTTCAGTTGGCCAATTTGAATGAGAATACAATTTTTTCCTGGACTTCTTACTATCAGTTGCACCATCTCTGTTTTGCATCCCAGCAGGGGCAGTCCCAGGGTCCCAGCTATAAGCAAGCAGAAATACCAGCAGAAATATCTACCAGCTCCAAACTGTTTAATCTGTAAATACCCTGAAGGTTTCCCATTTGGCTGTCACTGCACAGGCACTCGGCTGACTTACAACTTCCTGCCCACCAGGACCCCAGATCATTTTTATTAAGCTGTTTTCTAGCCAGCCAGACTCAGTGGGCACATAGGGTTATCCTGTTCCAGAAGTGGGACTTTGCACCTGCCCTTATCCCATTCTCTCTCTCCTTCAATTCAATTGAATCCAGGTTACCTGTAGGAATAACAACATGCCATAAACCCCACTGCAATGGGGCAAAAAATGCATCCTACTTTTGCATTAGTGGTGCTAACACTAAGGTCTCTCAGTGCTTACAAAAGACCAATTACTAGATAAATTACAGCTTTCTCAAACCCAGCTGAACCAAGAGATCTGGTGAAACAGCAGCACTTAGCTGGCATCATCACTCTAATTTACTATAAAATCCCTTATGTCACAACAGTGCCAAACAAATGACTGAATTAATGAGAGGGTGGTCCTGTTAATCCTAAATCCATGTGTTAGACTTATTACATCGAGTGCTTGGTGCTGACGATGCTGAGTTCAGGACAAAGTATAAAACATGACAGCCTTTGGCTTTTTTGTTTCTTTGGAGTTTTTTCATGTTTGTATTTTTTAATTTTGTTTTTTGTTGTTGTTTTTTTTTTAATACAAAAAGGCACACACACCTATAAAGTGATTATTCAACTTTAGACAACTACATGATCTCCCTTCCTCCAGAAATACCACAGAGAGAGCACTATTTTTTAACACATTTGTGCTCTACAGATTCAAGACATAGGTAGAGTCTCTGGTGAAGTCCGCAGTGAACTAGCATCATCTGTAGCCCAAATAATTTAATTTCTTGTTGTCCTACTCATTATAGCCACTCCTCCCTGGCTGGCTCTTTGTGTTTCCTACAATGAAGGTCACCTTCTTCCCTGCATTTCTGCTGCATCTAACGACTTCCCATACTCCACATTTTTGGCTTCAGTATTGCCCAACAGAATCAAGGTGCCCTGTCAATGTTCAGAAAATTCAAAGCATTACAGAGAGAACGGGATGTGAATCTTAAGGCTAGACTTTGGGCCATTCCATTTAAAAAGAAAATTTAAGGTATAGTTGTGAGTTTCAGGAAAAATTCTCAGAAAACAATATGGCCACATGTTGTGTGTTAATATTATTGCCTTTTTTAAGAATGCAGCCAAGTTTTATTCTCTGGTTGTTTTTAAGCTGACAAGGCATAACCAGAGTACCACTTGATCACCTACATTAAGAGATGAAAGTAAAACAGAGAGCCCCTGTAAGAGCTGACCAAAAAAAGTAAATCCTAAAAATGAACTCAATAAACAGCTCCACCAGCTCAGATACACTTATTGAAGAAAATTACACCTTTGTCTTGATTTTTTAGAAATGCAAATCAAAGGCATGTCCCTATCAATTACTAAGAGAAATTCCTTCCCTATCCATAGATTTGCTGACTTTTCTTGGTTAACATTGCACAAGCTGTCAGGATTAGGTCTCAAAAACTAGTAAATGAATCTTATTTCCCCCACAGCACTCTGCAACTGGTGCTGCAGCCTTACCTTGGAAACAAAGCAATCTGCTATAGCCACAGGATCATTTTCACAGTTTTCCAAATCTTGCAAAAGTTCACTAAAACAAAGAAGAGGACAAGGTAAGACAATTATGGCACATCTTGGATTAGACACAATTGTGTGTTCAGAACCAGACACTGCTGTGCTATTCATGACAGCACTTAATGATGCAGGGAGTCCTACAAAAGGAACAAGAACACCTCTGATGCCCCTTCCCCCTGCCAGGTACTGTTTTGATTTTTTTTTTTTTTAATTATTTTCAGGCAGAGAAGAACTATAAGGAAATGGTATTCCCACTATTTCAAAATTCAAGCCATCAGGTTGACCACAGATTGGTTGTTCTGCTAAGCAAAGCTGAGCCCCTTCCTTCAGGTAGATGTCCCATCCGAGAAACATTCAAGGCCAGGTTGGATGGGGCTCTGAGGAACCTGATCTAATTGAAGATGTCTCTGCTTATTGCAAGGAGGCTGGGCTAGATGACCTTTACAGGTGTCTTCCAACCCAAACTATTCCATGACTCTGTGACTGACAGCTCTTTAACAACAATCATAGTGGTGCAATCAGACAGTTGCGTACCTTGTATATCAACTAACATGACATAAAACTAATTAACAAACTGACTAAGAAAATTTAAAAGCCACTGAACACATGCACTGTCCTGTAAAGACTTTCCATGTTTTACAAGCTTTACTTGACCAAGGGAGATGATGAACTGCTCTCAAAAATAGTGGTGAGAACTGGGGACATATTTCTCATACATGAAGAATGTTATGAAGCTCACTCAGGAAAATTAGTCTACTTTTAGTGTGTTTCTTCATTGAAGATAAAATGGTTAGCCTGGAAAAAGTTTTCTGTATGGGAATATATACACATATATGCTCTACATGCATAAAAACAACACCTGAGAGGATTTTATAATTTTTACATGCCAAAGAGAAAATTAATTCATTTGACCAGGAGCAAAGCAGTAACGGAGCCTGTTTGCTGTTGAATTAAACTCAGTTCTTGAAAGTAAATTCAGTGAAAGAGTTCAAGTATAAGAAGAAAACTTCACAGGTTATATCCTTGATCCAAAGAGTTTTCAGTCTTACTGAAGGACATGCTCAGAAAAACGAGAGAAGAAACTGAGTTTTCTGCCAAATTGTACTCTAAAAGAATTTTCTTCTTTTCCTCCTCCTCCTCACCCTCTTCCCCCACCCCCC